ACCCTGCTCTCCACCTGCTAAGGCCAAACCTCACCCATGGATGAACTTTTCCCTGGACCATGCAGCCGCCAATGCTTTATAGGACACTTCATAGGACACACTCTACCTACAGTCCAAGAGTACCGGATGGCACCACATTTGATGGGATTCAAAGTAGGAGGCAACCAACCTTAGAGGGAAATATTATATTATTTTGGTTCTGCTTTGGGGCAGGGACACCACCTGAAATATGATGATGGGAAGGTGTAACGTGATGAGATTGGTGTTTGAATATTAAACGTAATCAAATATTGTGAACTACTTTATAAAATTTAAAAATTTTAAAAATAAATAATTTATGACAACCAAACCTATTTGTTTTTTAACTGATGCATATCCTGGATAGAACATACTTGAGAGCAATAGAATGGCAAAAAAATATTGAACCTCAGTAGGTATGTTACTGACGATAAAATTAATGTACTAGTACAGAAAATTGTTTTGTGTGTTACAGAATAAGCAAATAAAACTCACTGTAGTTTTGCAGTGGAGAAAGATACAGGTAAAGAGTCATGGAGGCAGAATAGAATTGAATTAAGGAAAGGAATCAGTAAAACTTGGTGATTTTTAGCTTTCAGATGACAGTAATTATATTCAAATATCAATGGATAGAACTGCAAACAGCAATCATCTTCTTTAAAGAGGAAGTATCAAAGACTGAGAATAGTAAACTAAAAAGAGATCCTTTCTCTTTTAACTCATATTATCAATTTTCTCAAAGCCTGGCAGGCTACCCGTGGGGTATTCAATACGCCAAACACAGTAACAAGTCTCACGATGGAGACGTTACTGGGCCTGCTCCAGCAAATCAATGAACAACGGGAGGACCGTGACCGTGATCAATTTTCTTATTTGATCCTTTCCACTCTTGTCATAATCCTGGCCTCCTAGTCACACCTAATAGGTCAGTAACCTCCAAACTTGAGCACTACGTCTTTATTCAACTTGCTGACACATCCCCAGGATTTACAAATAACTGGCACACAACAGACGCATAGAATATTTGTGTTAATGAAGCAGAAAAAAACAAAATAAACAACTTAGCAAAAAACTTACCTCTGGAGGAAAAGGAAATGAAGAGGCACAAGAATACAAGGAAAGGCAGTGACAAGGGAAAGAAAGAAGGAGAAGCCAGCCCCACAGACTGGCAGGAAAGCCCCTGCACCTGTCATTGTAAACAATGAACAAAGGTGCTATTTTGAAATGCCACGTCCATGGCGAAGAGCTGCATGTGATAGCTGGGCTGAGTTCAGAGTGATTACTGGTTAACAGGGAGGGAACTTACTGATTATCAAGAAACTCTGAACCCTTGAGAGAAACAGAGCTTTTCCGTCTTATTTTTATGACCTCTGCCGTATCTTCTATCCACGACTATAGGGTGTATGGGAGTTTCAAAGTGGGTGAGAATGCCTCTCAAACTGTGCATAAACAACAGAACTGTGATAGGGAATTAGAAACATGCATATTCCTATTAGATATTTTATTCAGCTTAGCGAAAATATACTTAAGAAACTAATGTGGGTAAGACACAAGGGTTCATTACATATGCCCCTATAGCAAAAATTTCATATATTTAAAAAATTTAAGATCTGGAAAGATAATATAATACTTGCCTCACATACAGTAAACCTGGGTACAATTCCTGGTACCATAAGTGGTCCCCAGAGCACTGCTAGGAGTCCCCTGAGCACAGTCAGGTGTGGGGTCCCCAAACCAAATAAATAAAACCTGGTATCTTCCCTTATTGTATGAAATTTGCACATGCTTATCATTATACATGTTATCAATGTTTATATTAAAAACTATGAGATAAATTTGGTGATAATATTTTAATCCCATAACCTATTTTAATCCCAAACCTAACCAAAGCTATTTCATATAGTGTTTTTATCTGCTCCAAAACTTAAGAGAAAAAGATTGGTGGGGGGAGGTGTTGTTTGCTTGTTTTGTTCTTAATATTCTCGTCCAAATGCTTTTCAAGCAGCATGTTAAAATTCCCGCACTATTAACCCTTGCTGTGCAGCATGGATTTTATTTTTTAAGTAATCATTTAAAAGGTAGAGCAAAACTGTTCATTTCTGTCCTTACAATTAATCTGAATAAGAACAGAATCAACATTTATCAAGACTGATAAGTGGATAAGCGGAAAATCAAAACTTGGAAGCCATATATAAAAATGTACTAAAGTCGCTTTTAATTACTTGATTTATCATCATTTAGTTCAAAACTAGTTTACACTTTCAATTTTAACGTCATGAATCAAAACACTTTCCTACACTAACACTAGTTTAGACATGTCAGAGCTTCTTCTTAACTGTTTTAGTTAAACTCCAACTCCAATTCCACCATCTTTAGTTTACCTTTTCCATGTAGAATGTGAGTCTGAGTCTGTTTAAATACACAAAATAGCTTTGAAAACTATAAAATTGGAAAACTATTGACCTGAGATATGAAATAAATAGTACTTTACTGTTAAATAGTATTTTACGGGTATAAAATAAAAATTTTTTGATGGAAATTATGTTTGTAGTATGTATAAAAATTACAAGGAAAACATACATTTCTAACCTCTAATTTGTACTGACAGTGATACAGTCAACCTTTCTGTTTGACAAGGAATAGTCTTTAAAAGTTCACCTTTACTTGAAAATTTTCAATCATCTAACAAGCTAAATTTGAGTGCTCAATGTTCCTTTCTTTAACTGATAAGCAGTTATGTCCTAACTTTAGGGCATGTTCACAGAATCTGTGCTAATAATTATTTCATGGTCCACAAGCAGCATTCACAATTGAGATAATTTTTCCCCTCAAAAATCAAATCAAATCAATTAACTGATGTTGTATTGCAATCATTTGTTAAATGCGCTAAGTATATTTGTTTTAAATTTCTCTGATTATAAGTGTTAAGAGTTAATTCTATACCCATTAGTAACCCACTGAATATTTTTTTAAGTTCCGCCTTAATACTACATTTAGGTTTTAAAGAACTACCCTTAAAGCTTTTCAACATGTATTTATTCAAATACTGAAGACACTTTGAGAATTAATTCATAACACGATTAAGCTACTTCACACAAAGCGAAAAAACTTTCCTTTTCTTTCAGTCTTAAACAACTTCCCATGAAAGTAAACTGGACAGAGAAGTATTACTAGAAATGCATTTACAACTATGATTAATGGAGTAGAAGGAATTCACTGGTACATTAAATTTACATTAGAATTGTAACATAAGACTGAGAATGACAGTTCTACAATTACACAGTAGCTACTATGTACCAGACATTGTTCCGGGCACTTTCCATTTACTAATTTATTTCATCTCCGCAATAATCCCATCCAGGGGTTATTCATTATGTTCCTTTACGGGCGGTTTCCAAGGACTCACGGGGATAATGCCGGAGCCAGGATCTGAACACGAGTAAGCCAGATCAGTCTACTTCTAGCAATGCTCATTCAATAAAACTTTAGAAACACACAAATTTATCGATGTAATAAAATATTCTGTGCAAGATTTGGGAAAGTCTATCAGAGAGTACCATAACCACAGCCAAATGGAAACACACTACACATACAGTGCACAGTTCGCATGCAATGGAGTGAATGGACAGCAAGTGCTGACTGGCAGATTCTAGCACAGCTAGAACAGGAGCTTTCAGAGGGTCAGATTTGTTGTGGGGGTGGGGAGGCTTAAGCACACTTGGTGCTTGGGGGGGGTGGGGGAGACTGTGTGATGCCAAAGATCAACCTGGGCCCTCTACACGAAAACACCTTAATCCCTGTACTATCCCTCCAGTCCCCAGAGTTTTAAATCATAAAACGAACAGATGCCGGGCCAAGGTTATGGCTCGGCGGTCTACAACGCATGCTTCTGACAGGTGAGACCCTGGACTTGATTCCTAGTACAGAGAGAGACAGACAGAGCAAGAAAAAGAGGGACAGAGAATGATCCAGGTAGACAGCTGGGTGCAAGCACCATGTTTCTCACATGTGCAGATGTGAGTCCGAGGCCAGGTGTGGCACATAGCCCTGGAATCCCCGACCAAGCAGCCCGCTCAACCCTGCAGGCCCAGCACCCGGCACTGGGCTGAGAGGTTCAAGTGTGGCCCTGCTCCTCCCCAGGGCCACTGGGTGTGACTCCGAGTGTATGCTTTATTCACTCTGAAAACCTAATACATCATTCAAATCAAAATCAAACAAGTGAACTAAAAACAAGTGACACTTGTATGTAAATTTCATGACTTCATCTTTTCTAACAGCTACATAGTACTCCATTGTGTAAATGTACCAAAGTTTCTTTAACCAGTCATCTGTTCTTGGGCATTCAGGTTTTTTCCATATTCTGGCTATTGTAAAGAGTGCTGCAATGAACAAACAAGTGCAGATGTCACTTCGACTATACTTTTTTGCCTCTCTGGGATATATTCCCAGGAGTGGTATTGTCACCCATTGCCTCTTTTGCAAACCACAACATCCAATAGGAGAGAGAGAAAAAAAGGGGATGCCCTGCCACAGAGGCAGGGTGGAATGGGGGGGATGGGGGGTGGGAGGGATACTGGGATCCGTGGTGGTGGGAAATGGGCACTGGTGGAGGAATGGGTATTTGACCACTGTATAATTGAAACCCAAGCACAAAAATTTGTAAGTCTACAACTGCACCTCATGGTGTCTCACTAATAAAAATTTAAAAAAAAAAACAAGTGACACTGCACCACTGTTCCTTCCAATCACTAAGATACATGGACAAAAGAATGGATTATCATTAAGCAAACTTAAATGCCAAGGTTTAAACTAGAAAACAAAGTAAGCACACACATGTTTGAATGCCCCTATAGACTTATAAAGTTAAAAGTCAACCTCTCTCTATATGTCTACTTTATTTAAAAATACCTGACTCCCTAGAGAGGAAAGGTGTTTCTCCACGTGAAGTCCCGTGGCAAGCACAGGCCTGGCCGGCCACCTACCTCTCCGTGATTGAAGAAGAAGCACAGCACTGTCACGAGCCCTCCAAGGCGGCTGCCACTGCAAGAGAGAAGAGCAGCTGCAGTCACGAGTGGCAGGAAATGTAAGATCTTACATTTACATCCGCAGAGTCCTACCGACTGCTGAACTTCATTCACATGGCAAGTGGGTCTTCCGCTCCGCTTCTTTTTTGTCTTCCTTGGGGCCATTTATTTACCTGTGCTTCAGCATTTCTCAAACTGTTTTTCTTGGGACACATCATATACATGCCATCAATAATATCTGTATATGCCCACCCTAAATATTTATTTCCTAAATATAAACACATATTTTGATGTGACCAGCCTATTACCATCCCTCTGAAATGTGTCCCTTTTGTAACCACTATCCTAAAGACCACTTTAAGCAATCCACGCAAATCCAGGCATTTGCAACAGCTGTCAGATCCTGCAGGGTACAAAGGTGCTGTGGCGTGTCAGCCCCTCCCAGCTGGGCATCTCATGTGGCAGTCTCAGTGCCTTGGTGCTAGCACAAAGACTTCCTTCCATGAGAGTAAATATGGGGGCAGGGATGAAGAGGATAAGGACTGGGGAGTCAAGATTCATATCCGACCCAGTCTCAGGTGGATGGCTGCGGAGGAACTCCCGTCCCTGCCCCCACTCACACTCCAGCTGCTGGCCCCTCGGGAACAGGTCCTTTCGGGGCATAGAAGCAGTGCGGTGACCTGCTCTCAAACTCAGCAGACAGCAGGTCAGGCCAGGGTGGCTAGACTGAGCACGTGACCTGGAGGGAAGCAGGTTTCCTGGGCACTTTCGCACTGCCCAGAGGGAGAACAGAGTATGCCTTGAAAACGAATCATTCCTCATATTATTTGCCAAGAAATACTCAGGGCTGCAATCACTGCGATGTGAGCAGTGATAGAGTAACCTAAGATGGCCAAGCAATTACCCCTAATCCCCCAAACACTAATCCCCCATCCACAAAGACGACCACGTAGACCACTTATTGTGATACCCAGGAAAGATGCACTCTTCAGCGTACTTACTTCTACTAGTTTACCAGTTGATAGGCCAACACACCTTAGTGATTAAAAATCATTTCTTCTGCACTTTTACCAACTGTTAGAAAATATGAAACTCATGGTATGCAAATTCTGAAAGATCTGAAGTTTTTTAAACACTTTCTATGTGTACTCATATACTTCTGAGCCTCAATTTCCTCAGAAGAGAGTAAATATGTGAAGGACCTTAAATATAACAATTTTCTAACTCTGCATTTTCCTGTGTCCTTAAAGGACAGAGACTAAAACCAATCATGACAGTTCGAAAATCCATTTGCATGGATTGCTTAAAGTGGTCTTAGAGATTTTTTCACCTCTACTTACCTAAGAAACCTGAAACCAGTCCAGGATCAGCATCAAGTTTTCTTGCATAAATTCATTTATCATTATTATTTATTTATTTTTAACATTTGTATTGAATCACTGAGACCATTACAAAGCTGTACATGATTGGATTTCAGTCTTACAATATTCCAACACTCTTCCCTCCACCAGTGTTCCCAGGTTTCCTCCCATCTCACCCCAACCCCCAACCCCCAGCCTGCCTATAGCTAATGCAGGAGCTTTTCTTCTCTTTCTCTTTCTCTTTCCCTCCCTCCCTCCCTCCCTCTCTCCCTCCCCCTCACTCTCTCTCTCTCTCTCTCTCTCTCTCTCTCTCCACTCTCTCTCCCTCCCTTACTCCCTCCTTCCTTTTGGCCATTGTGATTTGCAATATTGATACAGACAGGTTATCAAGAGTATCCCTTATCTACTTCTAACCCTCAGATCTTGTCCAGCATGATCATTCCCAGCTATTATTGTCACAGTGGTCTCTTCTCTATCATAAATTCTTTTTTTTCTTTATTTATTTATTTATTTATTGAATCGTTGTGGGAAAAGTTACAAAGCTTTCAGGTTTAGGTCTCGGTCATGCAAATATCAATCACATTTCCCTTTACCAATACTTATTTTTCACCACGAAGAACCCCAATAAACCCCCACCCCCCACATCCCCCAATGCCTGTGGGGCAGATGAATTCTAGTTAACACTCTATCTACTTTGACTAGCTTCACTGTTTCGATAAAAGTTGCACCATTATTATTTAGACTTTACCCCCCCAAATCAGCCATGCTGAAAAAGCATTGTGAAATGATTTGCTTTCTACAGCTGGGTTCAAGAATTAAATGATGTCGGCCACTTAGATTTCTGCTATTTTACTTATTAACCCTGGAAGTATTTCTACTGAGAATCAGATAATTAAGAGATTGGTTTCTGTGCTCTAGAGTCATGACCATGCCGGAGAGCCGCTTGTGGGGGGCAACTGGTGACCTCGGTAGGGCGTGAAGGACGGGCCAGAACACCCCCCGTCCCATGAGGTTACAGTCGCGCCCCCACCCCCGGCTCATACCTGCTGTCCACAAGGCTCCCACGCGGCCGCCATCTTTTATCATAAATTCTTAAGAGACGAGAGCATAAAGAGACAATTCTAAGTGTGAGATATGAGACTGAAGAAAGGAAGCCCAGCAGCACAGGTCTAGCATCCTCCTTCCCCTCAACTTGTGGGCCCTCCAGAGCAAAGCAGAGCGAGCCAGAGAGTCAAGGCACCAAGAAGAAAGTGAGACCCAGATGCTGGAACAATACCCAGCGGATCCCTCAAGGAGGTTCTGAGAGACAAACGAATGTCTTTCATTGGACTCCTCTTCTGGGTCAGAATTAGTGTTTAGTCACTGTGACTAGACTGTGGATCTGACCCAGGGCAGACACTAAGTTCAGCATCCACAGAGGAACTGGAACAAAGATGACCGACGCCAGGGCCATGGTGCACTTCACCAGCATGCGGACCTGGGCTGCCCAGAAATAGCGTTGCTGGAGCAGAGGAGTGTGGCAGGGCGCTCTCTGTTACCTAAGGAAGGTAGATGCCAGGGGGTCCTCAGTGATCCTCCTTCCTTTCTTCCTGAAAAGGGGCTGGAGGGTGAGTAACATGGAGAAATTCAGCTAAAAGGCAAGCCACCTGTCTGCAGCCAGAGAGCCCTGCCCTGTACGCACCCCTCTCCTCTCCTCCCCACCCCATGCCAAACACCAGCTCTACTCCAGACAGTCCACACTGCTGCCCACGCATGCCCACCCTGGGTGCCACAGCCACAGACACTGTCAGACATGCCTGCAAGGGCGGCACCTGCATAAGCCTGCGGCCCATTCCACTGCTCTGACCTGTCCAACAGATTGATCCAAAACACAGTCAACTGGCAAAGTTCTCACAATGACTCATACCATAGCCCCTGCCCCAGCCCCTCACACTGATACCACAGCCCTGCCCCGGCCCCTCACACTGACTCACACCACTGTCCCGGCCACAGAGCCTGCAGGGAGGGGACAGAACACAGAAAAGGGGAAGGCTGAGTGCTCCAGGGAGTCGGATGTCCTAGGGAGAAAAAAGCAGGGTTCCACCTGAGAGGAAACATGGGTTCAGAGAGAGGCACAAGCAGAGAGCACAGGTACTCTGGAGCAAACCTGTGGTGTTCCCTAGCGATAAGGCTAGAGTTGGTGACTGCTTGAGGGTCCCAGCTAAAGAGAAAGGCCATAAAGGTCATGCAGGGTCGACAGCAAGGATTAGTGTCGCTGGCTAGGATTGTGACACCAAAAGGAGCAGAGTTTGGCGTTTCTGACCTATAATTCATCCACTGATGCCCAGTGAAAAGTAACATGCTCATCTTTTAAATATTTATCTACGACTGTTAGACCAGATGAGAGATGTTCTGGTAGGCGAGTCACAGAACATTCACACAAAGTATGTTGCTGTTGCCTGGGTTGATGTGACCCATAATCTACGGAAGACACAATTTTAGATAAAAATCCAGCATGTTTATAAAACTAGTGGAGGACACTGTATTTTTTGGTTAAACTATTTAGTAGAATTTGTGCCTTATTGTCTGTATGTGAATAAATGTTGTACATTTTGCAAAAAAAAAAAAAATCCAGCATGAATAAAGAGGAAAACTTAAATTTTTAAAATAGAAATAACAAAATATCAAATGATACCATGGAAGCAAAAGAGAGGAAAGTTCACATTTTCTTAACACTGGGGAGGGACGCAGAAGAGTGGATACAGGGGAGAGAGCAGGCAGCCTCCCGCTCAGAACACAACAGGGGGCTTCCGGAGGGTCCTCGCCTGCTACTAAGGAAGAAGGAGGGATTGCAGCTGGCCTGACAACACACACTCCCAGGGAGGAAGAAGGCCACTAAGGAAAGGAGGGCACTCTGGCAGACAGCCAGCTTTTCAGGCCTTGGGGACATATCTAGAAATAAAGCAGCTACCACAAGTCTCTCCCGTACCACAGAGGCCAATCTGAAAGTTCAGAAAGCCAAGAAGGCAGCAGTGAAGAATGGAAAACTGGGAGGTGAAGGCTCCAGATTCTGTCCCTGGCTGGCTCCTCTCTCAGGAGAAAGGCACTTTGGATAACTAAGTAGTAACAAGAAGGGAAGTAACAGATTTGACCTCCCTCTCCCTCTGCTGGGAAAAACCACTCAGACCTCCCTGGAAGCTGAACATCATTACAGGACTCAATGACCAAGGCTGCAGACCTCCAGGCCACCCAGACCCTCCGTCCTAGTGATCACACTGCCCACTCTGGGAAAGACTGAGGCAAAAAGAAGGACCAAAAGCTTTCCTCACAAGAGCCAAAAAGAAATGGAGGCAGAAAAGGGTCAAGAAGAAAAGGAAAGAAGAAATGAGGTTCAAATCCCAGAAGCCACAGCACCGAGCAGCAGAGAGGAATTCATGAAAGAGCATGAAAGGCCCCCCTGAAGCTGCCTCAGCGCTACAGGTGGGGGGGGGGGGCAGGCATGTGGGCCAGGTGGCCGCAGTGAGGATGTCTGAGGGCGAGACCCAGAAAGTGATGAGCTATTTGTCCCCTGGTAACAGATGCCACCTCTGCTCTGCAGTGAGTCCGAGCAGACAGGCACCTCCACGGGTGTCTGCTGTGCTGCTGAGCGGGGGCCTGGGCTCCCCCACAATGAAGT